AGGAATTACAGGGCACTTCAGCCACAGTTGAATAGCCTGAACTCCACAGAGCAAATCAGGACCCAGAACTCCCAAGTGACAGCCCTGGGATTCTTACCCATTGCGTTCTCAGACAATAATGTCATTTATACAGACACTGTTTTGTTCATTCAAAAGAAAAAAAAAAGAAAAAGAAAAAGTTAATATACACAAAAGTGGGATTTTCAGAGAGTAGAACACATGTATTTGGGGTTGGTCCTTTAGGCACAAACCGTTAGGTTCTGGGTTGTACTGAATTTAAAGAACACAAATTCAACATATTTTAATAAATACAGTGGAACTTACATGAATATTAGTCTAATGAACACATAATCTAATATATAAGCAATGGAAAACAGCTTCTTAATGCATCTCTTCTTTTTCTAGTGACATTCACAGCCAGCGGCTAAACGGCGTCACTACTAAATAGCACCTAGAAAACTGAAATGCCTGGAGTGGATCAAAGGATTGATGTAAATGTGTTGTGAATTAAGAAAAAATAGAGTAGGCATGTCCCCTAAGAGTGATTGGTTGGTTTGTCCCTCTTTTAGGAGTTCTGCAAGGGCACAAAGTACCTGGAGCACTGCCATGTCTCCTGCTGCCCGCAGCTGACGGATGAAGCTGTGAAGACATTGGCATTTCACTGCCAGAGACTAACATCTGTTAACCTAGCGGGTTGCCCAAAGGTATGGATAAGAAATGGGGAATAGTTCTGGGATTGCTATTGCAAAGAAGTACTTAGTGTTTCCTTCAGAAGTTTGATCTGCTGGTGTCTGTGTCTTTGTCACAATTCTGCAATATGCTCAACTCGTATTTCAGAGCTTAAGTTCAGCTGACTTCCCATGAGTTTGAAGTTCCGAGGCTTGGCTCTTGAGAGTGCTTTGCATCCTCCTAATGGTTGCAGTTACAGCAGAAAGGTGTCTGTGCTGTACCAGGTAAAAGTTTGTCTCGCCAGGGGTTGACGTCTATGGAAGGGTGAAGAGAGAAGGGCTTTTAGTGATACTTCCTGCAAATACTCTCTCAGCTGCTGGTGGTTTGGGTACTTCTGAAGTGTGGTGTCTTTCTTTTAATAACTCTTGGTGTATTCGGTTTCTCTGAACCCGGGTAAAGCACAAACTGGGCATGAGAACTTCATAACTGTGGCTTTATAGAATTATAGAATAGTTTGGGTTGGAAGGGACCTTCCAAGGTCACCTGGTCCAACTGTCCTGCAATGAGCAGGGACATCTTCAACTACCTCAGGTCGCCCAGAACCACATCCAGTGTGGTCTTCTCCTAGGATGGTGCATCCATAACAACAGCAACAGTAGAAATTGTGCATGGAGATCTTCCCAAGGGAGTTGAAGTTGAAGTTAGGTAGTGCTGCAATCTGTCTTCTCTGACATGTTTTCCATGTTTTCCACTTCACCATATGTACTAACACAGGAAAACTAATCAAAACAAATGTCAATAAATACATTTAGACTGGAAATTGGAAGAGTTTCTGGTTATCAGAGCAGTGAATTGCAAAACACCATCCTGGGAAGGGAGACAGGGGCAAAGTATTAATGTTAGGATGGCTCTTCTTAAGGGAATGAACTGGGTCATATTTTGTAGTTCCTGCAAATGGGAACAAGAAGTAAAATCAGTGACCTAGAATCTCCTTCCAACGCTTTGTTCCTAGATGGTCTTTTCTGTAAATGGTTATAAAGCCAATCTGTTAACTGCTAAACCCTACTATTTTCAGAAAAGAACATCAAGATTCTTCGTAATAAACCTACACCAGGTTTACAAGTCTTTTTCTGACTTGAATCCAGCTTGCAACTCCACAAAATGAGATGGGTACACCTGCGGATGTTAAAAGTAATGGGTCTTTAAAATCCTTTGGCAATCTCTAGTGTAAATTGAGGAGATCCAGCTGTGAGGAAGGGAAATATTTTCCACTCGGAGACTTGTTTAAAAATGGTCAAGAGATTAAAGTGAGAATTAACCTGTTCCAAAGGATAGATGCCAGTGTGTCTGACACTCATGTCCTGCAGCATCAGGATACATTATAATAAAAACAAGAATTGCAAAAAAATTGCATAGCAAGAGAATGTGAAAAAGAATCAATATAGAAATCCATGGCCATTAAGAATGTTTTGGCATGTGCTGTGCAGGTTACTCTAAAATTAGAAGAGCTTACTCCTTTAATCATATCTACTGGAGCAAATTAATTGTCTTTGTGCAAACTCCACTGGCTTTAGTGAAAGTGCAGTGAGCCTCCTGTCATGTTTGTGTACACCTGGGACAAGTACAAGGCATTTTGCAAATGCTAATTCTATCAAATACTCAGCAGTGTGGTTCTGAGTCTTACTCAAGGAATGAGCCTGATTCAAGAGTAATTCTTATTTCAGAGGGAAAAATGAAGTTGCTGAGGGAAACACATCCTATACACGAAAAAATACAGCAAGAACTGAAAATAAACCTTTGTAAACAGCAAAGTTCTGAAGGCACAGTTTGATGGACAATGAATTCTGTAATTCAGTCCTGTAAAAGGAATAGGATTGAGCGTATGATGAATGTAGATTTCTCTTAAATGCTGATCACTGACTTCAGAGTCAGCAACTTCTTATTTCAACAGGAATATTAATCTATTTATTAACCCTTTAACCTATTTATTAATCTATTTCAGGTTTTAATATTGAGCATGTAGCTAAATCTGGAATAAGCAAAGCACAGAATTACTTCTGGGTGGACTGCATCATGAGATAGTGTGCTAATCTTCTGTTCCACAGCCCAAGTTCCCAGCTTCACCTTGCCTCTATTCCCTTTTAGATTCTCATGAGATTGGCTGTTTGGTGCAAATGAAACCCTCCTCTCTCTTTCCACCATTCCACTTCACTGATTTTAATCAAGTATCTTTAAGAGGCCTTTAGTATGTCCCCTCTTGATTTTTGGTCCTGACTGGACAAGGTAATTAAAGTATGTGCACAATATATTCTTGACTGTTTCTATTGAGGTCACTGGCACCATTAAGTGGCTTGCATGACTGCTTATGCACCTTGAAGACTCGATGTCTCCTGTTTTTCTCAACTATGACTTTCAGCATTAATGGCAATGAGTATCAGTTTAGACAAATTGAATTGTGAGGTGAAACTAAGCAGCTTCCGAGCTAGAAACAACTGCACATTGGAAAGGTCTCAGTGTGAGATACTCATTTGTAACAGAGAACTGAGATACAAAACTAATATAACTAAATTATAAGTGCAGCCTGATAGTTTCGCGAGAGCAATATAACAGCAGGTAAGACTAAAGGCTTAACTGTGTTACATGCAAGATGAGGAGATTTGGAAAGTTAACCCATTCAGATTAGGTGAAAAACATTGCACAGTACTTTGTACTGGAATCACAATTATTCAATAATCCTCTAACTTCTGCATGTCTTGTTGCTTCATTTACAGATGACTGACACCTGTATCAAATACTTGGCTGCAGCCTGCTGTTATCTCCGCTTCTTGGATGTCTCTGGTTGCATTCATCTTACTGACAAAGCACTGAAATATCTTTGGAAAGGTTGTCAGCAGCTCCAGGTTCTCAAGATGCTGTACTGCAGAAATATTACCAAGTAAGGGAATATTTCCTAATCTTAATTCAGAGGTGGTTGCAAATCCAAAACCATGAGCTGCTTTCCTCATGGTGCCATGCTAGATAACCGGCTTGAGCCATCTTGCCCCTTTGTTTAGGGGTGTCCACATTGCTGCCTTAGGATTCCTGTGGCCTGGTGTGGGTATCTCCATATTCTAGTGTCAGCCACACTTGAAATAAAACAGGGACCCCATCTATCTTTATGGCAGTCAGTGTCCTCTTAGGGAAGTTTCTGCACACACAGGATATCACTTTAAGAACACATGGGAACTTGAGGGAGAAAACCAGACTAAGCCTAATGCTCTCAGCACTATGTGCTTGAGCTCACTCTGAGGGTATGTGGGAGCCTGCTGCCCACGGACTGGATATCAGAATACAGCAGAAGTAAATGTGAGCCTGTGCTCAAAATGCATCATGGTTACGGTGAACGAGTCAAGGTATCATAAGCAGAGTTTCAGGAAGTACAAGCAACGCATACTTGTTAGGTATCTACAATTGGGAAAAACAGGTCATCAACCACAATGTAATCCAGCTTCCCTACTGGTGTAAATGGGCTGATTCCCCACAAGATTTAAAAGCCAGTCAGTTATGGTCAGGTTTAGAATCACAGAATCATACAATGTCTCAAGTTGGAAGGGACCTGCAGTGATCATCAAGTCCAACTCCCTGCTCCTCGCAGGACAGCCTAAAACTGAACCATACAACTGAGAGCATCATCCAGATGCTCCATGACAGGGTTGGTGCTGTCACCACGTCCCTGGGGAGCCTGTTCCATTGAAGGACCTTTTCCTGATGTCCAATCTGAACTTGCCAGATGCAGCTTGTTTCCATTTCCTCATGTTCTGTCACTGGTCGCCAGAGAAAGGAGATCAGCACCTCTGCTGCCCCTCTTGAGGAAACTGTGGACTGCGATGAGGGCACCCTTCAGTCTTCTCCAAGATGAACAAATCAAGTGACCTCAAACACTTGTTTCTAAGTCTTGCCCTTGAGGCCTTTAACTCTCTTGGTCTCTCTCTTCTGGACACAGTAGTTTGATGGTTTTTTTCTGTTGAGGCACACAGCTCATTCTGCAAAAGATATTTCAAATACATTTAATCTCCTCATAACTTTCCTCAAGGGATTTTCTTTTACCCTTGGATTACTGTTGTTCACTTGCTTTTTCTGCAACTTCGTATCTCTGTTTAGAGCAGTAAACACTGTGTCATCCCTTTCAGGCTCTGGATGCTTGTACATCTTCCCATGGAGGTGAGATGTGGTAGGAACAGAAATCTGTGAGTTCCAGTTACGTTTGTGAGCCATGACCAAAGAGCTGGCATGACTTCTCTCAAAACCGCCTTTGTGGTGTGACCCAGGATGATGCCTCTGCCTCAGCGTCCCACATGCTATGGGTTCTCCAAACATCTTGATTAAACCCTTCTGACTCAGCCAAGAAATTTCCCAACCAGTTGTTTTTTACTGTAAAGAAAGCCCTGGAGAGTTATGGATCTTTGCAAAACACAAAAGCAACCATGAGACACACATCTCCACCCAGTGTTATCTTTGCCCTTTTTATAATTTTGTGATTTTTGGAACTAGACAAACTTTACCCATTTTTCTTCCCTGAGCCTGATTTTCTGATATGTGACAGTGGATGGTTCTGTTCTTTGCCATCCTTAGCCTCTAACTCTCAGCACCATACGTTTAATGATATGAAACTCCCACCCTGAGCCATTTGAGTCTGGGACAAAAGCTATCAGGTGATTGATCGTGTTGAGTAGTTCAGCATGGAAGACTTTTTGCTTATTCCTTCCAACAGGTCTGAAGAGCCTTCCTAGACCTGGGCAGGCTGCAGAACAGACTGAGCACATCAAGATCAGAGTGGCTTTTCAATCACATTCTGAATTGTCACTAGATGGAATGATATTCAGAAAACAACAGGGAGTTCACACTAGATTCAGACATATTCCACATCCTGGATGTGTCACACTTTAGAAAAATCTTCTTTTATTCAAATTCAAGGCCAATACTGCAAAGATGATAAAAAATTATCTTCTGCCAATAACTACCCAGGAAACCATGGCAGTGATTCTAAAGCTGCTCATCTTGGAGTAGCTTTTCAATGACATCAAAAGCAATGACAGTGCTGTCATTGATACGCTCCAATGTAATTTTATAAACCTATGTATTTCATTCACAACCTGTATGGTTTTAGTACTGAATAATAAGCAACAGATTGTCAGAAAAAGGAACACTAGGGCCTCGTTCTCTATTTTGGACTAACTCTTAAAACCTTATTCAGGTTCTTAGATCTTCACAGAATGTAGGAAAAGGCTGGTTTCAGGTGTAATTCACACTCTGCAGGTGTGAAACCTACAGTTCAGAGACATTTCATTCCCTGTTCAAGGAGATGGAAGAGGACAACTATGTAAAATCAGTTTAATCTAGAAAACTAAATATGCTAGTGGCTTAGGTTCTAAATAGGCAGTAGAAGAAATACGGTTTTAGTTTAGTTACCCTACAAAATCTATGAATCACATATACTTCATTTTGCCAAAGGAATTCCCCATTATTTATTATTAAATACTATCCAGTCCTAACAGACATTTAATAGACTAAGTCTTGCAAATATTGAGGCATATCTCTTGTATTGTGTCACATTCAGTTTTAGTCTGTTTCGTTAGATTAAAATAGAAAACATATGGAGCCACAAGGTTCTTTGTTTCAGTCCAGTGAAGCTTCATAGGAAACAGTTACGAGCGTATAAATTGTCCATTCTTTCCAGTATCAGGTAGCTTTTGTGATTGTATTTGCCAACATTCCAGCCTGGGTCCAGGTTTATTAAATGTTAGCAGAAAAAAAAGTCTGTGGCCTGATACTCTGCTGCATATTTCTGTATCCAGAGGCTAATGACCTTTCGATTAGTCCTGTTTCTAAATGCCACGAAGAATCATAGATAATCTACCTGTGGGAGCATATGATAGTGGTGCAAATGAGTTCTTCTGCTAGAGGAAAGGAAAGCTAACTAACTGCTGCTTAAAATATGCCTTCTGGAGGAAAAGGCACATCCCTCTGAAACATTCTCTGTACACTTCAGAACACAACCACCATTTGAAGTCAGCTCCAGTGCTGAAAGGTGTGGAGCTCTATGAACATTTCTGGGTGCAAAGTGAGAACAGAAATCCGCCACTGCCTGAGAAGCCAGCCTTGTGCTCTCACCAAACTGCAGCTCGTCCTTAGTGGTTTGGTTGCACCGAAAGCTGTTCTTGGAGAGCAAAATTAAATGCTTCCTTCTTCCTTGTCCGCACTAATATGAAACCAGTTACATTTCTTTCAAACTCGTGACTCTGTTAACAAGTGACTCGTCAACAAACAGTACTGCAATTTTTGCCTTTTAAATGGAAATTGCACTGAGTCATAGTAGCTACAATACATTTGTCCTTTGGAGAACGTTCTGGTATTTGTTTTGTTCCATTGTCATTGTATTTTCTGACAGTTGATGTTAGTTAAAAAGGAGATTGCAAGAACTCTTTTTTGAATAGCAGAATGTCTTAGGTGTTATCCTAAGAAACATTCATGTGTCTTAAACCAGGAAGGATTTGGGAGTCCAACACACGTGTAAATGGAAATGAAGACAGCCTACACCTGATTTGGTAAAGGACAAAGAATAATTACTCTTAAGTTTTCTCTTGAAGAAGCAACAAAAATATCATAGTACTGGCTTCTCACTGAGCGTAAATCACTCTTCAGAGGGACATGGAAGCTCCTGGAGTGCCATGTCTGAGCCATTGTGTGCACTTGAACTGGGTGCCATCAAATGATAAAACTACTGCAGCCAACATAGACCTCAGAATATGTCAGATTTGATGTGGTTTTACCACTTCGTGTAACCTGGAGCATACTTGCAGGACGCTTCATGCTTTTCGTTAGCTGCCTGCCTCCTCTTGCCTCTTCAGCTTTATTACTCCTGCAGTGGCACTACAAACACATCCCTCATGTTTAAGGTTTTACTTTCTACTCTTGATTGGGTTTTGTAATCTCATCTCAGAGAGTCCTGCCCAAACCCTCTGCTTTTTGTTATGACTGACCCTGTCAAACACTTCTGAACTTTGGAGTGGCTCAGGATTCAGACCGTGATGCAGAACTGTATTTCCTACCTACCTCCTCTCAGTAAGAGGGATTGAAACTTCGGGTAAGGATCCAATTATATATTCCAGTGCTGCTCAAGCCATGTGTTTGGGCCAGTACGTTTCTCTGACTTATACCAAGAGATATGTGCTTTGCCAAAGATAATCATCATTATGTGATGAAATGCTTTTAGTCATCAATGTGCTAATTTAAGACAATATATAAATAAATACAGAGGCTCCATCATAGTACAGAGTATCTTAAATAAACGACCTATTTTGCCATGTGTTGGTGATTAATGAATGGCTGTTTCTGGCAAACTAATCAAGTGTAGCTTCAGGCATGGGAGAGCATAAGCTTCCAAAAAAATAGTAACAGCTCCCCTTATACATGCTTCAGCCAGCTGCCATACATTGCAGTTTCCATGGAAAATAGGAATTTGGACTTGGATGAGTTGATTCATATTTTATAGCTTATAGCTCATATAAATCGTGCACACATTCCTCAATGGCAAAGGCCTCCCTAATATAAAAACAGCTAGAGCCTTGTGTTGGTGTGTTCATACAGTGTGGCAGTGTTCGGCTCCTGCAGTGGTTGAAAAGGAGCCCTCCTTGTGTCTCTAATTTTGTCCCTTTTCCATGCCTTCCCACTTCCCCTGTCCTGCTGTGGTGGTTACGTTAGAGCTGTGCCTCTTTTGTAACCATCCCCAGCATTTTCACTTTGGGAATGTAGTAGCATTACCGGCAGCTAACAGACCATTTGAATTTGGATTTTTAACTAGCATCATCCAGATGCCGTATACTGTATTATTGCAGAGCATAGGAAACTGGCCACCAGGGAGGAAGGTGGCGTTGGATGTCCTGAAGAGGGCAGGGGGTGCAGAGCTGGCTCTGCCCAGCGAGAACACAAGGGGAGCTCTCTGGAGCACAGGAGCCTGCTCTGGGAGGCCGGGGCTCCGTGCAGCAGGAGCAGGCGGACAGCCAAGTGCAGGACTGGTGGAAAGAAAGAGACATTCAAAAGACTGAAAGTCGTGGGTTGAGTTTCTTCAGCTCAGGAAGGCAGGAAAGGTGCTGGGCTGATGCTGTCTGCAAGAAGGGAGAGGAGGGAGCTGCTCTTCATCGTTTTAGGATGTCTCACTCAGCAGGACAAATTACCTCCTGTTTCTGTGTCACTTTGTTCTAGTTCATTGTTTTTGTGCTTTATCGCTGCAAAGGGGCAATGGCCACAAATGCTGAGGGAGATCAGAGCAGTTGTGGGTGTTTTTGGACATAAGCAATCCTCTTCAGGTAACAGTAAGGCTCTATAACACTGCCCATTCTGTATCCAAGTCTGCTTCAGAAACAACACACTTTAAAAAGAGGTGGGTGACAGAAGATAACTACAGGTGGAGAGGTTAGTCAAAAAGAAAGCAGGAGGTGAACCAGGAAAGGGTAAAAGTACTTGGTGGTGTCACAGACTGTTCAAAGAAGCTCAGGACCTACACAGTTACTATAACCTTCCCATATAGTAATGAAAAACCTCTCTGATACTGTGGTATCTTTTGATGTAACCGGTTTGTTAATCCTGTGTGCTGTATTTATCCTGTGGAGCACACTGATACGTAAGGAGAGGCTGAAACTTGCTTTGCTCAATCACAAGAGCAGGCTTGGGCTGGAGGAAACCATGTTGTTATCTGTAACTCTGGGCAGAGGAAACAGATGCACCGACAGGACAAGTGGTATATGCAAAATTCTGATCACATACAAGGAAACTATTTCGTTTTCAATCAGGAGGCTGATCAAACACTTGAACGGGATCCCAGAAAGGCTGAGCAACATTCAGTCCTAGGGACACTCATCTGGCAAAGCTGTCACCCACCTGGTGTAGTTGGAGCCATTTAAAGGAAGGATTAAACAATCTCCAGCAGCCCCTTCCAACCTGGTTTGTTCTGTGACTAAGGCCCAACCAATTATCTTCTTCTGTGGTTTCCACAGCACCTCTTACAATACTGATAGCTTCAGCTGGAACAGGAACTTTTGCTCAGTAAACAGCTCGTGGTGGTCTTTGGACAAACAGCCTCCACAAATTTTGTTCTTTTGCAATTCATTCTTTTTTAACTCTTGTTGCAGACAAGCTGTCCTGAAATACACAGCCAAACTGGAGAAACAAGAACACAGCGATGCTGACCCTCCTGCCTGGCTTGGATACGACCCGGATGGCAACATACTCACCTTCACCAAAACACACGCGCTGGAGCCTGAACAAACAAATGCCTCAAAATGAAAAATGAAGAAATTGCGCAACATCTTCTACCGTTGCAGGGTTTTCACCAGAGCACAGAAAACACTATTATTTTTCTTAAAACTAATCACACTTGATAAAAGGCTGGTTGTTGGATTAGGAAGAAAGCACCGCAGATCTTTCTCACAGGCAGGGGTCTGCCTTCAAGCAAGACAGCCGCACCGAAGCAGCTCTGCTGACTTTCAGATCTTGATTCGAGCTGTCTTCATCTTCCAATAATGAGAAGCTTTTGTAGTCCCCTGCAGTGAGCAATAACTACATCTGCATATGTCTGGGGTTCTTGTTTGCCATGAGGGTCCTCTCCAGGACATAAACACTCTGACTCCCCACAGAACTTCACACTTGACACTGCTGGTACTCATCAAGTACAGTGTTCCTGAGCAGAAGCACAGCGCAGAGGTAGTGACTGCCAGCTCCTCAGCACACAGCTGTGTGTGCACATCTGAGCATGGTTCTCTGTGTCTCCTGTGCACCCAGAGCCCCAGTTCTCATCAAAGCCCCTCAGCCGGGTTCAGCTCTCCAAGCGAGCCCATTTTCACACTTGCAGATCTGCACTGTGCTGGCTGGCAGCTGACAGAGCCAGGAGGATCAAATAAAGAGGAGCACAGATGAGAAAAGTATTAAAGGAGACGTTTTCTCCAGTTATGAGCACACATCTTCTCATCAAACAGACAAACAGAAGTGAGCACACATGGGATTTGCCATTCAAATCCTAATTACTGATAACCTACTGATCTTCCCTTGTCTGGAGGAAAATATAAAGTTTCACCTCATTAAAGCAGAACAAGACGTTACACAAAAGCCTTTGGGGAAAATCCCAAAGATTTGTCTTTCTTCAGCTCATTCTTGACCTTTATGTAAAAGTTCTAGCTGGTCTCAACATTTATTAGCTCGGAAAGAATATAATCAGAATAGCACAATTTTTCTGACAGCTTATTTAAACTTCTTTCAGCAAGTAACTAACAACGCTAACGCTTAATTGCAGCTTGGTTTAGAATACGAATGCCTTAGCTTGCCTGCTTTTGAACATGGAAGAAATAACAGACTTTCTTACTGTGCTCTCTCTTAAAACTGCTGATGCAGCCATCCCAAAAAGCACAAACTGAATCATAGGCTGACAGGCTTTGTTTGCTGGGTGAGTAATGGAACCATTACATGGATTTGATTTTGTGAAACATCTACTATGCTGGGTTTGTTTTTGATGCTGTGTGATTTTAGAGGGGCTTCGCTCACTTTTGGCTGCAGCAGTGCACAGAAATCATTAGTGTCAAAAATTTGTCAGGAAATCTAAAACCATTACTCATTTATTAACTTTGTATCTTTTAGAAGAACGGTAATAATTACAAATAACTGGTAACGTTGTATTGCTTGTAGTAACCATATTAGCAATGTGCTATATATTAGTGTCTACATTAAAAGTACATATTTGCCATAAACATCTGTGCCCACTTTATCCAAACAAACAGTACACACAACAGCAAAGAGAACATTGAGGTTTTAACCACCCTGAATTAGAGTAAAAATGCTGCCCTTGACTATTGAAGCCATTAGCCAGGGGCAGTTACACCTCTTGGGGAATCCTGTGGGAACAGAGTTCATTTCGTAACGTACCCTTATGATCTAAAGTACATATTCACATCTCCACAACTTAAAACCTGAGCCAACACTGAACTTTTCTTTGCTACACTCAGTTGGCAGGAAATTCCTCAGTTTTGAACCACAAACTTCAGTACTTCTTTTACAAGGTGCCATATACATGTCTGGAAAGGCTTTTTAAAAGCTCCATTTACTTTACTGAGTGTTTGCATTATGGTAACACAAAATCCTCCACAAAAATCACACATGCCCTTGCACATGGCATGCCTCCTTCCCTCACATCCTTCCTCTGCCTCTCAGAGCTGACAGTCCCATCATGCAAGGCTGACAGGAAACATAGCAAAGAAACAGATCACAGGTCTTGTTTATTAAGGCAATACTTCCACTTTTTGGCAGCTTTTACATGAGGAGAACAGTCATGTGGGCTCTTACCTTACTCCCAACTTTTGTTTGAAAGTTATCAGTTTTTAAACTGACGTGGTAAGTGGGTCAAGTTATACAAATCCTGAATATGTAAGATCTTGTTGTTCCTAAAAGGCACTAAAAGTGACCTGTTAAGCATCAGCCACAGTCACAGGCAAATCTTGTGTTAAAACGCCCTCATTTTTAATATTGTTTCTCTCTTATATTAAGAGTATACATCAAAAAAGGTTCATAATTTTACAGAAATGTTCCTTTACAATGTCCTGATTTATTATCTTTGGCCGATTTCCCCTTTAAGAACTCTTCAGCTTGACAGACTGGATCCAACTTTGGCTTTTAAGACACACTTTGCCATTTTGTGTGTCAGCCTTAATCCATCTGTCTGTTTCGCCCCGTTGATTCATGTGACCTGGAAAAGAAAGTTCTGTTCAGTTTAATTCGACACACAGTAAACATATCATCTTCACATTGCCATTCTTCCAAGCTCCCTGGAAATACTCACATGACTTTTATTTAGTAAAATTTATGTATTTTTAACAGGGGCTGCTGACATTTCATTCTTGATACAGTTGGTTTGCATTAATATCATTCATCATAATATAGTTATTGTAATAAAGCTGTGGACATTAGCATATAGTTGCGTAGTTTTTACTATGGGCTGGAGGCCAGATGCCCACCGAAGCTGCTCTATCACTGTCCTCCTCAGCTGGAACAAAAAGCTCATGCGTCGAGATAAGGGCATAGACAGATCACTCACCAGCTACAGTCATGGGCAAAACAGATGTGACTTGTGGAAATCAATTTGTCACCAATCAAATCAGAGTTGGATAATGAGAAATAAAATCAAGTCTTGAAAACACCTTCCCCTCACCCCTTCCCTCCTCCCAGGCTCAACTTTACCCCTGAATTCTCTATCTCCTCCCCACCAGCAGCACAGGGGGATAGAGAATGGGGGTTGTGGTCAGTTCACCACACGCTGTCTCTGCTGCTCTTTCCTCCTCAGAGGAGGACTCTTCATGTTAGACATTAATCTCACTAAGTAAACACAGAAGAGAGACGGGGGCAAGGACGTGGTCTTCCACACGACCAGACATGTTGTTACTATTGCTGCTTTCACCTCAAGATGTCTGTCTTCTTACATGTTTCTCATACACTTAGTGTGCATGGTCATGCTCTGAAAAAGCTCACAATGTGACAGACAAAGGAGGAAGTTCAACTTACCCTCATTTTACAATTAAGAAACTGAGGTCAAGAAAGAATAAGTGACCTTCCAAATTTATCCAAAAGATTTATGACCAAACTGGGAATTAAACTGGGATCTTTTAAGTCCCAAGTCGGTGCCTTTATCACAAGATCAACCTTCGCTTTGGTTTATCTTTACAAAATATCTTTTATTATTACTTTAGTGTTCGTGTGACTGAGTGAATTCTAAGTTTAGAACTAATTTCAGCCTGGAATAGCACAAGGGATGGCAGGAAAGCAGATTCTGAAGCAACTTTGCAAACATGCTCTGCTCTGACCTGTAACACAGCTGAAGTTAAATTTTGGCCACGTCAAAACAGTGGCAAAACTCCAACTGACATCACTGCGTTGGTTTCCACAACTCCGGCCTCTGTGCCAGAACCTTCAATAGCGTTTCAGCATTTTGGTACTTCTAAGTGGGATTAATTTAAGGTTATGGTCCAAACCCACATCAATTCACCAGCAGGCTGAGGTGCTGCTTAGAAGTGTGGGATTTTCAGCTTCCGACACTGACCGAGTTCTCCCAGTGAACGAAGAGGCATTTCAGTGTCTGTTCTTATCAGACTACAACATGCCTTCAAGGATCTACATGGGGATGTCCTAGTACAGCTTCTGCACTCCCAATTGCTCTGGGCAGCAGCAGCCTCAGTCACAGTCTCAGTATCATTCCTACCAAATCCACAGTTCCACTCTCCATCTAATTACAACTTCAATCTATGATAATAATGACTAAGTTGGACAAATGCATGGTGCATGAAATGTGTTAAAATCTGAAGCTTCAGTTCCTCAGAAAGCTTCCCCAAATCATCAATTTGCAATAATACTGTATCAGAGAACACAGAACAGAAATGACAACAACATCTGTCTTTTCAGTAGAGGGTAGCCCTTAAAGCACTAGAGCACAGTTTGAATTTTAAACAGGAAATAGCCTCCAAGTGTCAAAAAAACCCTAAACCAACAAAGAAGCATAAAGGAAAGTTTCAGCTGATCCCTTATTAGAGTTGTGGGGCACTGAAAACGCAGCTCTTCTTCCTAAGGAGAGGACTCAACCAGTGTATTTCCAGAGAGTGCACATTGGAGTGCTTGGTCCCAGTTCCTCTCTCTCATGTCTTTGTCACTGTGGCTTGTACTTCCATACAAGGAACAAGCCCTGAAGCACAGTCAGCTCTGTATATGAACACCTTCACACACTGCTCACAGCCTGCCTAAAAAGTTAAAGTGTTCTGAAGTAACACAGGCACAAATTAACACGAGCTGTTGCAAAGATCAGTTGTTGTCTGAGCTCTGTTTCTCATTTTGCGTTTGCTTTGTGACCTTAGGAAAATGTTTTGTTCCTTATGTTTCTTCTTGGAGATTTGCCTGTGAAGGGAATGCAGAAAATATCAAACTGCCTGCAGGAAAGTGAGCGTCAAGTTCCACTCCCCAGGGATTAAGATCTTCAAACTATTTTAGGTTTTACCTATCCCCAGTAGTGGATCAAATCAAGCTTAAGATATATAAGTAACTTTGAGTATGAAGCACTAATCAAGCAAAAAGGTTGGAGACCTTTTGATGACAGTTTGGTCACTGCCTGTACTCTTGAATACTGTAGGAGCATAAATGGATTTTGAGGATCACTTTGCTAGCATGGTTAAATCCCAAAGCCAACAGCCTGCTGGATTCAGATTAATTCGATCTTAATTAATATCAAAATTAATAAAGGTTTTAATTTCAAACCCAACTGGTCAGTGCAACAGATGTGAGCTCAGGACAAGACAGATGCACCATTCTGCTGCATGGCCCCCTTTTCCATTTGTTTCATCTCGTGGTTTTGGGGGTGTGTGTGCCCCCTTCCCCTATGTGCAGGTGTCCAAAGGCAGGGAACACCTTTAGAGAACTTCACACAGGCAAGTACTGTTTATTCACTTCCCTTCCTGGAGGCTAGAGAACTTAGGGAGAGTTTTATTTTCACCTCCTGAAACACACAGAGCAGCATATTTCACATGTTGTTCACTGGTGGTGTTAGGACTGTGGTATATCTCAAAAAGGCTGTGAACAGCTTGAGTTAAATGCAAGCTGAAACCAATAAAAATCTGTAGGATAGCATCTCATCTCATGTGTTTAGTAAAAGTTGGATGAACTTTCTATTTGACTTGAAGGAATGTAATCTTTTCCAGATAGAACCTGGGTCTTTGTTTGTTTTTTCAAGATACTGCTTAAGGATCAAGGCTTCACAGAGGGACAATGTTTAGCTGGGACACTGTAAAACAAAGCTCTTCCCACTCAACTCTAGTGGCAAAGAGTCAATAAAAATTGCTTCTAGGAAAGAAGGAAAGTTCTGAAGTGCCTTGAGAAAACAGGGAGGGACATGACAGCAGATAGCATTACTCGTGGGATCAGAACCGTAACTGAATGCGAGTCAGCTGCACAGTGGGAGAGAAGGGCTGCACTTGGACAGCTGTTACAGTTCAGAAAAGACTGAGGTTTCAGCAGACTGACAATACAAGCTCTTTCAGTGATTTCCCTTTTTAAGGCAAGCTGCTTGCCTCACGTTACTCGCTGTCCCTTCAGCCCTATATTTAACCCTGGCACTCCATGCAGGTAAATACAGAGACAGTACCTGAAAGTAAACAACAGAGAATTTCTCATCACAAAAGCACTTAAACACACCCGTGAAGCTTTGTGCGTGGTACACAGGAGTTGTGCAGTCAGCTCCCTCCACGCACACTGGCTTTGAAGTGGATCCTGAAGGCTAAGTCCACAGTACTTCATAGGCCACTCTCCCAGTACTTCTCTATGAGCCATTGCGTGAGTGAAGGGAGATACAAGCTATTCCTGAAGGTAGGAAGCATCTGTCTAAATCTCCTTTGTTCCAGAGGGGAATCCAAATCTAACATCAGGCAGACTTAAAAGTCTTCCTGTTTCAGTGCATGATTGAGTGAATGATTGTTGTAAGGAGAAAGGTGCTCCTTCTCACAATCCACCTGGAGAACCAGACAGGGTGAAAAGACTTGATGTTATTAAGAGAAGCCGAGAAAGTCAGAGATAGGACAGTGGTATCAATGTCCATCTTCTCAAGGGGATCTAGTACTTACACAGAGGATTACCATCCATACCCAGGACAGACATCTGAGGGAAGGCATAAGTTAACATGCAAAAAAGCACCTTACTACCTGCATGCATGGCGACCACAAGGCATGGCTCCAAGAGGAACACTGTTCACGTGTGGCTCACTGAAGCTCTAGTGCTGTAGATGGGGTGGGATAATATCAAAAGCTAAAGATCCTGTTAAGTGGTGCAACTGTTGTCACAGTGGATGACATAGGGAGCATGTACACCTTGACCTGGGAGAAGACTAACTCCCAAAGAGTACATTCTTTGTAAGAGGACAGAAAAATACAAAGAGGTTGGTTTGCCAACTTGAGTAAGTAAGAACAGGGATTCAGGATAACTTACACAAACATCCACAGCCTCTGAGGAGCACCTGTGACTCTGTAGCACTTTCACCAAGGAAACTCACATAAGTGCCAAAAACCAAAGGGAGCAAGTGACTGCCAAAGATAAAAGCTCACTCGGCATCGAGCAGATGGATGGCACCAGGTCAAAGGTTGCTGCTGGAAATGAGCTTGGCAGTAGACCTGGGGCCAGGCATGGGAAAAGATCTGGAATCAGATGAGTCCATGGCACCAAAGATGGAAGATTTACAAGGTTTGAAGAAAGGGGTTATATTCCAGACAATTAGATTTGGAACCATCAGCTCAAGGACCTAAAGAAAGTCTCCGAATGACTGCAAGATGTTTTCCAGCGAGCTTAGTTGTCAGCACACAAGCTGGCAGTGGAAGTGGGCAGAAGCATGCCCATTGTCTGCATTCCTTCAGTCCCCAAATGCACCCACCCCCACGCCTTTGAGTTACTGCAGAGTGGGTGGGAGTAGATGGTCACATCAACTTCAGGCAAGAGAAAACAGGTCTGAAAGCAACCTTAGCAAGGATGCACTGTATCTAACCCAACATGCTCACCTAGCCTCTTCTTCACTGTCTACAGTATTTGGAGTGGCCCAATCAGGTACATGCCTACCCTCAGAAAGTTTATCTTACTAGTTAGCTAAGTTTTCCTTACCATAAGGTCAAGTCATAATTTCTGTTTCTATCACCAGTGGGCAGAGAACAATTTACTTCTTTCATCTCTGCAGTAATTTCTTACATACTGGAAAAAACACATCTTCTCTTCCCTTATTCTTCTCTTCTTTAGACAAAACCAGTATTATTGTTTTTTTTAGTCTTCTCTCATTAATCATGTTTTTAGGCCTCTGCTCATGTGCTCTCCTCTGGAGTCTCCACAGTCGTCCACATCCTTTTTTGAAGTACAGTACTCAAACCTGGACACACTCCAGCTAAGTATTACTAATGCCATGTAAAGCCAAGGGGTTATTTTCAGTTTTACAGAACAGTCATGTCCACACACTGTTTATTTTTTTCAGCTGTGTAACACTATTGTTTCCTGTTTAATGATGTTTGTATTGAAATATTCCTTCTCTTGGAACCACACAGGTAATTATTCCTATCTTCATACTTTGAACTTAACCAGGACAAATGACTTTTTGGAAGAATGGCCTAAAAACCGTATGAATCAAGATTATCTGAAAATTAACCTTGTCCTTCAACATGTTTGTAACCCCTTTAACACAACAGTCTCCCAAGCTCCTTTTCTGCTTAAATATTTGACACTTTTTAGACTGCTACCCTCCCTCTGACCATATGTAGTACAGTTATAGTTGATGATCCCTACAGTCTTCTTAAATCAGCTGACTTCAGAATACAGGCAGAGCTGGAGACATGGGAAAGGTACAGACATTGAGCAGCAAGGGCTTCCCTCTTCACCAGGGTAAGGAAGAGTGCCTTGACATGATTGCCACCAGAAATTAAAGGAGTTACTCAAGCACTCAAACTAGACAACTGAACAAGCACTTTCACAGATGGAAACTGGACCAGTGGTTAGCATGAAGAATCTGGTTTTATAACAGATTTCATTATACCATACATGCCACTTCTAAGAGTGTGTGCTGATGTCAATGGAAACAGATGCCTTGTCCTTGCAAATTACTCAGAAGAGTAAACTCCCTGGCACTGCTCTCCAGCTCCCTCCATGTACCAGCAAATGTCCCAGTTCTGCAGGAAAGTTCCTTCCTTTTCTAAAAGAGCAAAACACCTTTTCACACTCTCATAACTGCCTCTAGAGCATTCACTCCAGGCTTTCACCTTCGTGCTTTGACTAAATCCCACTCTAGTCCTTGGCTACCTTGCGAAACCCTGTATGTGGCTGCTTGTGGGACTGTAGTTTACCAGCTTCCAAACTCTATGTGGAAATGGGAGCCATGAAGCAAGGTGATGCTGCACATGGTAACTGCTGTAAGAGCAGTAGGGAAGGCTTTCCTAGAGCAGGTCACAGACGAGGGGCTCGTTTACCCATCACAGAACTCTGTCTCCCCACTGCAGTCTCCTCTCTAACACCTCTCAGAATATTCCCAGTGGCAAGTTAAGCTTCCTGAAAGCAGCTGGTTCCTGTGTTATCCACAGGAGAACTGGCCAGTTTCTGAAAAATCATCTATTTTTAAACTAACCTTTGAGCTCAGAAGCATAAAAATCTAAACTGCCATGGCTCTTGTGATTGAGTTTTTTAACACTTGCATAACCCCTCTTCTCTCTCCATTTTGTATTTCTTCAGTTGCAGCAGCAGGACAGCTACAGACTCTACCTAAAACTTCAAGAGTGGATAATGTTTTCATGATATAGAAGCAGTGTTAAATTATTTTTAATTATTTCAGAATCTACTTGTACAAGAGAATTCTCAAATATCAACTTTAAGAAGAAGAGATTATTGAGAATAAGGGAACAAGTGCTTGGCCAGTAGAAAGAATACGCTATCCCCACAGGATAAGGTAAAGAGGAGGAGATGCAGGAAGCATCTCCCTTACCATGCCCAAGGAATGTTACTGGCTTGGCAAAGAGGCAGCACTGTTTTCAAAACGGTAAGAAAAAGAGCAAAGCACATGTTAAAACAGCCACTCTTCATGTTTGTTGCTTCTACCTGACCAGTGAAGAAAAGGGAGAAGAGCACTGCTATAAATCACTGGTTACATTATGTGAGAAAACACTGACTGCTAAATGCCAGGTACAGAGACAGATGAAGATACGCTACTTCAGGTCAGCACTAGTTTAGCTGTATCCTGCAGAAAATCCATTCCAGGGTCTCTTTTTCATTCACCTGCATTACAGTCAATTTGGATTCACTGTTTGATAAATTTCTTGTGCAATGATTATCAACAACTGATAATCACTGGCCTAACAGTGTTCCCTCTGCATAATCCTCGCTGATTTCCATGCCTTTGGGATATGTTTAATTTGAGGGTTAACTTATCAGAGCTGCTTTTGGCCTCAACTGCCAAGATCATTTCCATACAGAATGGTGGGTTGAAAAACTGCATGTTTCAGTGATGACTGTCCTACATAAACACTGTGAAACCAGAGGACCCATTCAGCTGTGGATATTTGAAACACCACTCTTATCTTTAACATTCCCAGGATAACAAGATGATTGACTTAGCCAGCGGTCCTCATTCACTGGGAGAAGTGTTGTTTTACTGCTGAGGCAACTCATTCCATAGACTCTTGCTAGAATCTGGGGTCCTTCACAGGTTTCTAGCCTGAGAACTTCTAACCAGGTTTTTAAAGCTATTGTATTTAATAACCACCAATAAATTTACATGCTAGTTACTGTTCAAGGCAGGATATATATGTATATGCCCATACAATTCAAGAATATTATTTTGTATAAGCAAGCTCCATACTGAAATTATGTACATACACTTCTAACAGTTCCTGACTTTGAGATTATCATCTTATATGGAAGAGGAAAAGAAGTTTGAGCATATTTTCTCAGGTTTAAAACCAAAGAAAAACTCAAAGCCTCACCCAATCTGCTCTCACATCAGGTCATAACGACATAACACATTCAGAAACAAAGCTGCAGCCTTCAGACACATCACATTAATGTTTCCTCTTGAGTAAACTGAGTAATTGGTAACAGCAACAGCTTCAACTTCTAGATAGACACGTCCGGAGAGAAATACACACCCTGACAATGAATTGTACAACTGTTTTCTAAAGCAGGAAACAGCAAGACTTGGGATTCCTGAGTTCAAGTTTAAATTCATTAGACGAATGCTTCCAGTAATCACAGGCACCTTTCCATTTACCCTGTTCCTCTAAACTCCAGCTTCTTCTGCTCTTCCCCTAGCTATCTCCCACCCATCATTTCTGCACTGTTTAACATTCATACATTTATAAATATGCTGTGTACCCCCTTTACTTCCCCCTCCCACCCAACAGACAGAAAGCTTTTCATTATGTTTTTTATCCCTGGCAATTTATTACATGTGACAGTCTAAGCCAACAAAGCAATGGGTCAAATTCAGCCCTGGATTACCTCCTTTAAGTTCACTAGAATAATGCTGAGGATGAATTTGGCTCCAAGGCTTGTATTAGAGAAGCAGTTGTTAGCATTCACAAGTCATTTACTAAACAAAATGAAAAAGTCATCTAGTAACATGGGGAGTACAACGGCACAAGGAAACATTTGAACCTGAAACAGATGAAATAAGAAGCAGCCAAGAGCAATAAACTCTTAAGGAAACATAGCTGCCTTTGACTAAGGCCAGACAGACATCTATTGGAAGCCAAGATTAGTAAGCCTTACCACTTATAGTTACGTGATCATCTTTGGAGGCACTCTGTGTCTCTTTTAACTGAATCTCTGAGCTCACATCCACTTTTCTTCCAGACAGTTGTAAATAGGCTTTGAGAGAGGCAGGTACCTTGACTGTAATTGAACCTGGTATAAATGAAAAGCTAGTTAGTTTAACATTGAGATCAAAGCACAAAACAGACAATTATTCAGCTAACTTGAATCGTTTGGTTTCGGGTCTTGGTTTGTTTTTTTTTTGTAAGAGCCTTCAGACACTGTAACCTCTTTTTTTGTCCCTGAAAGGATAAATGAAGATACTATCATTTATCATAACCAGAATACTGCATGTCACATGGAGAAAGTGGTGTCACCATATTTCCTTGGCAGACATGAAAATTAACATTGACGTATACGGCTAGCAACAGCTCTTAGTAGAGGATCTTATTACAGGAATGATCAAGGGAAGCAAATCTAACACATCTCACAAGCATTATGACTTCAGTTTCATCTTCTAGTTGCCTATTTACACTTCTGAGCAAGGACAGGGGATCAGATTTGATGATTAATCCATGGCACATTAAGAAGGAATTGCTCCCCTGGAACGATGAGGTGCTGCTTACACACTCTTAATGTTGCAATTGTCTTCGCTTTACTGCCCAGGGCCAGCTGTTCACATCCTTGAACAGATGCAGTCTCAAAAGTGACTAACCAGTTTAGACTACATATCACAAAAATGTGAACTACTGACAAAACTGAAGCTTTGGTGATATGAGTAATTCTACCTTTGAGGTTAAACCCAAAAATTCTGACTTCTGCTTTCCCTAAACATGTGCTTCTGTGCACCTGGAACAGGCTGTCCAGGGGGGTTGTGGAATCTCCCTGTCTGGAGACATTCAAAACCCACCTGGACACGTTCCTGTGTAACCTGCTCTGGGTGACCCTGCCCTGGCAGGGGGGTTGGACTGGGTGATCTCCAGAGGTCACTTCCACACTAACAACGCTGAGATCTAACTAAAGGCAGATGCTGGGCCCCCTGTCTCCCCACGCTGGTCATATTTGGAATTACTCAAGTCACAATGTCTGGGAGCTGTGCTCTACACATTAAAACAAAAACCTACCAGAATTCAGCATACATGCTACTTAGTTTTTGTCCAATTCCTACATTTTCTTCAGAAAAACATGAAACACTTTTTCCTAAAAACTGAAGCAGAATATGGTAAAAAACTTGATGTTATAACAACTAAGTAGTGGTCAGAAAGCAATCTTAGCTGTGCAATTTAAATTCAGCAGAATCAGTTGCCTGTGACAGTCGTGATGAACTAGTAACTGTCAGTATAGTTGGGCCTAAATTTTGCTGGAGCCACAAAAGCCTTAGGATAAGAAAGGTCTTCATCTTTGGGTCCTCCTTGGAGAGTTGCTCAGTGATGTGACTCATAAAATCCAACACACATGCAGTTAATTTATCACGAATGGGACATTTTCTACACTGCAGCTGTCAGCAGCTACTCTGAATTTAGAGAGTAAATGAAAACAGAACTTCGTCAACTTTGTCTTTACTAAACCGTGCTGCCAGATGTCAGGCATGTTTTGAAAATAACATTAATTAGCTTTTATGAAATACGTTTGTCTTTCCTACTAACTCAAAGAGATATTAACTTATAACTGAGTCAAAAGGTAACTAAGAAATAATATAACAATAAATTTCTTTGCACTAAAGAAACCCGAACAGCTGGTACAGAAAAAAAACACACAAGTTATTTCAATGCATTTCCTTCATTATTCCCATTCTGAGTAACTGCTAGGCTTCAACAGGGCACAGGCATTGTCTCATGGACAAGGGAAGGGTACCAAATACTATGTTCAATTAAAACACCTGCAGTGCCTGACTTGATGTTAAAGTATAAAAACGCTGTAGTGTGGGGGCTTTTTATTTCAAAACTAGGATTAAGAAGATGCATTCAGGGCTTTGTCATTTACAGAGTCATATCTTATGAATGGTAAAACTATGACTCTGACTTTAGGAGTGAGCTTTTACTTAAGAAGTGAAATTCTAGTGAATAATCAGGAGAAAAAAAGGAAGACTGCTAAGGTAAGGCTCTCTTGTCTTTGCCTTCTAATTTCAATAACAGAACATTCTAACCAGCAAAGGCAGGAAAAAGAAGTGTAAATGTGTGTCAGTTGTCACTCTGCACACATATGTATCAGCATCATGGAGTAAACTCTGCTCAAGGCAAAGTCAGCTCTGCAGGATTCTGCTGGGTACACTGCCAGGAAGAAAAGTGCTGAAGAACACAAATCTGTAATCCACAGTAAGTATCATTGCCCCTTTCAGAGTTTGCTGTGTTATCAGTATACACACTTTCTAATAACGAGGTAAAAAAGAATACAAATAACCAACAAAGTATGCTTTATTTCAGACAGATAAATATTTTACACCATAAGCTGCAACAAAAAAATATCTTAGTTTCCTAACCTTTCTGGGATTTCAGATCCACTTTTCTTAATTGACTGACATAAACATCTATCGTCCCATGATGTGTAGAAGCTTTTAGACTCCCATCTGATGAATCTAAGGAAAATAAAAAAATCAAAATCATGAAGAACTTTTCTAATACTCTTTAAAAATAAAGATTTGCTACAATCTTTCTTTGTACTTTGATTTGACAGTTCTTCTGAGCTTGAGAAGTAGCTTGTATTTACTGAATGTCAGATTTCTCTTAGAACAACAGGTTTCTGAACAAAACTGATCTCCCCAGTCCAGAATTCAGGCACAGACACATCCCAGGGCCATAGCCCTGCAGCTTCTACTGGACTTGTAGCATCTACAAGGCCACAGTAACACTCCCCTCTTTCTACAAGGATGAATTTATCTTTGTGCAAAGATCAAGTGCAAACTTTGAACCATTTCAGATTCTGAAGGAGTTCATTTGCTCAGGCTCTGCACAGGGAGAACTTTACCCATGGAAACAACAAGCAGTTGTGCACTGTAACATCTCGTTACACAGAAGAACTGTGTGTCAGGCTTTGTAAAGTCTCATTCACTATACATATGAATTCTAAATGAATGTTTGAAATAACCATTGCACTTCAATATACATAGGAATAGACACAAGTATATTTTGTTCTATACCTTATTAGCTGAAATTTGTAACAACAGAACTTCCTGAAGAAACATTTCTTACAAATAAAAAGCCTTTAAAAGCTTTAATTGTACATATGAGAAGTATCTTTAATGACTTGCAATGTGTTCCAGTTTTAAATTGCAAAGAATTGATGAAGCAACACTAGAGAGGCATAAAAAAATTAAATATGTACCTGAGCAAAAGGCAGTCACTGAAACATCTTTTTGGATACAATGCTAGAAATGAAAGTATTGGCAAGAAATCTTGAAATACTGATAGAAACTGTTTTTTCTTAGTTTCTGGATGGGCACAGAAAAAGAAACAGTCGAACTTTCAGAACTAAAATAATGAAGACAAACCTGAATGACACTTCCCATTTTAAAAAGTGAAAACATTCATGAAAGAATTAACTTGCTGAATCATAACAAAGATATCTAGCATTACACCTTACCCTTGCCACCCAGTTTCAACTCTAAACAAACTCATCTGGTGCTTTTCTGATTCCAGATCTCAAGCATAGATGTTGAAGATCAGAGTATTACAGACAAGAGTAAAAACACAAAAAGGATTATTATCCCACAGCTAAAACCGATTTCTTTGGAAGGGAAAGTGATTAAAAAGTAATTAAGAAGTAGCCAATCCATATTTAGTCAGCTGAGACTGTCTTTGCCTAACACAGTGACAGCTAGAACTGGATGTTTCTGCCATCTCAACAGATTTTATGTTGAAGCAAATGTTACAAATCTGAAGAAGAAAACCCCAAACATTAACTCTCCGTTAACTGAAAATTAATGAACTGGAAAAAAGGTTTTTCTTGCCTGACAAAAAACTTTCTATTGATCATTTTTAGAAAGGCTGTTCATAGCAAGTTTGAAGGTAAAGTCATTAAAACAGCAACATTTGATATGAATCAACTTTTTTGAGTATTTTTAGTAGTGACAGCTTGACATGTTCATATAAAAGCTACTTTTGCAGATATTCCCAATCAAGTTTAACAACAGCCAATCACCAAGTCTCTGCATAAACTTGACAGAGATTTTTTTGGCAACAACAAAGATCCAGGCTCTGACTCTTCAACTTTGAGCAAAGCATGCAACTAATTCCTTTATTTGCACTAGGAAGAAAGAGTCTCCAGTGATAGGACAGTGACCCTCTCAGGGAGAACAACTGCTAACAGTCAGTACACTGCCACCAGCTGATGGTGCTTTGCGGGGACTAATATTTGTCCAGTGAATCCTTCTCCTTCCCACTCTTCAAATGGAAAAGCAGCTCTTGTGAGATTCTTCACAGTGGAAAGATGCCTTTTGCAAATCTAGCAGCCCCACTGCAAGACTGAAAAAAAAGTGTTCTCTAGATTTTTGATTTATATACAAAACCAAACATACCACAACCTAAAAAAACCCAACAAAAGCAAAGAACAAAGTACTCTTAGGAAAAGCAAAACACTTTTCCATTGGTGAACAATCTTTTGAGAAGAGGATTTGCCAGATCTTGACTCCCAGAGTGCACCACTGAATAGTAAGTTTCATATGGCAGAAGAAACAACAGCAAAGCTTCAAGAACTGCGAGAACCTTGGCAGCATCAACCAAACACTAAAGCTGACATTACAATACCTGGTTAACTTTGATCTATGGAGATAACATGAAATATATTTTACAGAAACAACTGGATATGAGTTACGGTGGGAAATTTATGGATATGATATTAAATACAAATGTTAAGAATGCCAAAAGAGAAGTTCATAGAATCATAGAATGGTTTGGGTTGGAAAGGACCTTAAGATCATCTAGTTCCAACTCCCTGCCATGAGCAGGGACATCTCGCACTAAACCATGTCATCCAAGACTCCATCCAACCTGGCCTTGAACACAGCCAGGGATGGAGCATTCACAACTTCCTTGGGCAACCCATTCCAGTGCCTCACCACCCTCACTGTGAAGAACTTCTTCCTTATATGTAATCAAAACTTCCCCTGTTTAAGTTTGAACCCATCACCCCTTATCCTACCACTACAGTCCCTAATGAAGAGTCCGTCCCCAGCATCCTTATAGGCCCCCTTCAGACACTGGAAGGCTGCTCCAAGGTCTCCATGCAGCTTCTCTTTTCCAGGCTGAACAGCCCCAACTTTCTTATCCAAATCTATGAAAGATGCTGCTTGTTTTGTGTCTAACTCGAAACAAATGAGAAGGGGAATTAAAAAAAAAAAAAATAAAGAAGAGAGAAATGGATTAAAACCAGCAAAGAAGAGGTTATGTAAGAAAAAAGGCCAAATTTAAATAAATACTTCTACAAGAAAAATTACCCTTTGTTAAGTAACACAGCCTGGTAGGACAGAATACGTGACTGAAATAATAATGGAGACAATACATATTTTAGAGTTCTGACAGAACACACCTAGGGCAATTTATTTTTAGATATATACCCAGTGTTGGCTGAGATCAATGTGAGTAACTGAAGGCAAAACCAAGGAAAAAAGTGCATGGTTTGAATTCAGACTTTGCTGAGGACTGACAGCTCAAAGGGAAATTAACCATTCTACTGGGAATGGAACAGATGGTCACTCTTGAGCAACTTTGGCTATTTAAGCATTTACTAGCACAGGAATAAAAAAAAAAGAAGTATTGAAGCAAGATGTCCTTGACAAGCTTTTGTTAAGCTTTATGAAAAATAAATACAGCTTGAAAAATAAAAGCTAAGTCACATCACCTGTGAAAGACTATGCAATTAAAGATCACGGAAAAGTCTACAAGGGTGACAAAACTAAACATCATTTGCAACGTTTAGTATCTCTTTTTCATTTTATGAAGTTCTGAAGGATTAAACAAATAATCTTTCCTCGAATCTAAGCAAAACCATATTTACTTTTCCTAATAGCACATAATAAGTGACCTTCCTCATGTTAAAATCAGTGACAAAACTGGTTTTCAACAGGAAAACACAAAATATTATGATTGGTAAAGATAGGAAAAACTGTAAGATTCCAATGACTCTGAAGTGCAAGGAAGATTTAATTCCTTCTTAACTAGCTGTCTAGTATAATTTGTTGATAAGAAGTGGTCAATTTTCTTATATTAGTTCAATCTTCTAAAACTATCACATGAAAAATGAGAAAGTGAAGTGTATATGTTAAACAGACTAATTTCACATACTGCTAAAATATCATTAGCAGTTCTTACCATACTCACCATTCAGACGTGGCAAAACAAATGATGTAACACAGAAAGCAAAGGAATCTCTCATGAAAACAATTCCTTTGCTAACTAAATTGTCTAGATGATACTTTTACCTTTAAATGTGCCAATTTCTACCTTGATTTTAGAGTTGTATCTATCAGTTTTAAAGGCCATAGTCTCTTTTGGGTAACTTACTCTGTTCTGAAAAAAAAAAACAAACCCACCCACTATATGCCTCAATCCTGCATCATAATACAATATGCCAAGTACATCTTCCCCTTGATAAGCCTCTGACCCACTACACATCAAAAGGGATCTTCCTTGAGTATCTATCCACACTGTCCACATCTATCTGCAGACTATCATTCCATATTAATCATCTCTGCAAACCAATCAGCTATACATCTCTACTGTTTCCTTGCCAGAATAAGTCCCTGCTGCCTATAAACCGGTTAAGATTGTTTCTTCCCCTTTGAAACAATCACTGTAAGCTTGATGATTTCTGACCACAGCAGATTCATTTCTACAATGAATAACTGGGTTAATCCAGTCAGGAAAAGCCAAGGGGTTTGGAGCTGGTAGGGGAAAATTTGGCTTGGCAGCAAAGTAAAGAATACATAATTAGACCATACCAATAACATTGAGAAATAAGCAAACTCTAGCAGGACTGAACATGAGCCAACAGTGTGCCCTGGCAGAGAAGAAATCCAGCAGTATCCTTGGCAGTATTAACTGAAGCCAGTTATCAAGGAGAGGGATTATGCCCCTCTACTCAGCACTTATGACACTACACCAAGAATACAGCATCCAGTGTTGGGGCTCCCAAAAGAGGGTTAGACATCAATAAACTGGAGCGAATCCAGCAGCGAAGCACCAATATAGTAGGTTGTGGAACACCCCACCCCTCAGCCTCTCCTGATGGGGATGGGCTTGCTCAGCCTGGAGAACAGACTGCTTCAGGACCTGACAGCAGCCCCCTGGTATCTGCAAGGAGGTGATCGAGAAGACAGAGCCAGACTCCTCAGAGTGGTGCATGGTAGATCACAAGTCTATTTTCAGTCTGGATGGAAGGAATAATCTTTTCAACCTGAGGACAGTCAAGTATGGAACAGTTTTTCAGAGTGCTGTACAGTCTCCATCCTTGGAGGTTTTCCAGACCATGGGATAAAGCCCCGAGCAACCTCACAGTTTGCATGGCTTTAAGCAAGAAGTTGGGGACTAGAAACTGCTTGAGCAGGGGGCTGGACAAGGTGACCTCCAGAAGTCCTTTCCAACCTCAACCATAGAAATGTTTCTGCAACTTCCTGAGGCCTCTTCCAACATGAGTTTTCCTATGAATTTAGTGAATACGAATTTAAGAGATTAAGCTAGTTCTAAAAACAAAGCATTCAGTTACTCTTTGTAAGATAATTCAGAATTATAATGACTAGTTTAAATAGCAACTTAAACTAGAAGTAAAAATAGATCTGGTTGTTTCAAACTATGAAGTCATTCAAAGTCCATAGAACATTTGATACAAGTAGGAAGCTTCTAATATAGGGTTGGAAAACAATGTCAGTGAGTAATACCAAAATAAAAAGAAATAAAAATATTCTATGAATAACAAAAGCAGATTAGATAACAGCACTAGTTTCCTTTTTTAATACAGAATTATATAAGAATAAGAAATTGTCAAGCCAGTTGCTTATATTTTTCCCAAACCATTTTGAAGGAAAAAAAGTATCCATCACTCTCAAGTTTGACTTGTAAATAAATCTTTCAAAAGTAAAGGACACATCCCCAAACTAATTTTTTCTGTAAACTGATAAAATCCTATCTCCAGTGAAGTAAATAACTATATCCCTATGGAAATCCAGCCAAGGAAGTTGAAGATTTGAGTTGTTCTGCCTATTTCTATCAGAAAATCCCGGTCAGGTCTCCCGACAATCCAACTAGCTACCTTGTAGCATAAGTTTGTCACACACAAAAACCTTTCACTTAAAGCTTTACATTTTCTTTTTCAAGTTTTTAAGAGTTGAACCATTGGACGTTAGAAGTCTTTTACCTTTGGAAAAAGCTATGAAAATCTAAAGTATGTTTAACACTCTTTAGGAAAAGATTAAGTGCTTTCAGTACTGAAACAGAAACTTATTCAACTCTAAGATGTGTCTTAATGTTTAAGCAGAACCTGGTTAATTAAGGAAAATCATCATCATCCAGTTGATGGAAAAAGCTATCTCCTGTGGTAAGAAACCTTTATTTAAACACTCTTCATACTGAGTTTATTTAAGAGAAAGAAAAACAGACTAGCAAGCTTAATTTAATTCTGTGGTTTAATGACTAACTTGTAAGAATGTGTGCTGCATTCATTTTCCAGGAAAGTTAATATAGATTGCTCAGAAACATAAGAAGAGTTGCAAGAGTACAAATCGTCCCTGAACAATGCTTAATGAGTGACTATGGTTACTACCATTAGCAAAAGACTTCGAGATTTGGGCCCGTAATCTATTTAAAGAATACGAAATCCTTCTACGTACATTCAGGAGTCACTGAGCCTTGTCTATGATTGCTACTTCAATTTTCTGTCACAGAAATAACCAGAATTGGAGTTCTTTACTTTTGTTTTGAGGTACTCTAAAAATGTAACTGATATAATATGTACCACAATTGATAACTCCTGGTTATTCTCTTGTATATCCTGTTCAAGTTCCTGAAAGAAAATTTATGAGCCATTTTTATTTCTGAGGGGAAAACAAAGATTAGCATAATAGTTTGGAGACTATTACTATTAATTATCACAAGCTTCCCCTCCTCCAATATGTAACACCTCAATGTTTTATGATATAAAAATTAAACACAACTAGTCATCGACATCAACGAATGTAAAAGAACTAGGCTAAAGGCAAAATGATTGCATTTCTTGTGTCCCTTTAGGTAGGGTTTTCATGTGTTCTTTTATCATATCTTAACCTAGAAGATGGCACCTAGACTCAGTTTGACTTGTGCAAAGCCCAGTAAGTAGTGTGGTATTAAAAGCAAGACAGAGTGCCTTGCCCAACTGCAAAAGGCTGACAGTGAAGTTTGGAAAGAATCTCCTTCAGCTACACAGCTACCAGTGCTACTGAAAAGAGGGCAGAAACATCTGTAAGGAATTACTTCCTTTTTACCTTCCCTCTGAACATCTAGAAAGGAGAAGCGAAGAGGGAGAAAAGAGGTATCTCTAAGAGAACGTAGAACCTACCTACTGTGATATTCCCGGTTTTGGTCTGAAGGCTGGTGTTACCTATTAAGAAGAGAAGGAAAAAACATTAAAAGCATATTTAACTGCTTTCTGAAATCATAACAAAGGCTAAAGTAATATGGACCTATACAAGAGCATTGCAGTTGTAGTAGTATCTCTCATTTGCATATAGAAGCAAAATAGCATAAACCAGATACATTGCTTGAATATTACTGCTTTACAAACAAAAATCTCAGTGCATGTGGGTAACAATGAAATGATTCCAGATGAGAAAAACACTGAATAAAGCTTAAAGACACAGACCACAGACTGCATGTGAGAGAGAGAAAAGCAGAGATGCACTGTGAGGCTAAAGCACAGTATTTTCTTATTTTATTGTGGGCCAAATTTTTGCATGTTTGCTCTGATGCCTGCAATATGGATGATTTAAGTAGTTTTACACGATTAGTAACACAGTTTCTATTTTCCTTTTTTTTTTTATATATATATATACACACACACACACACACACACACACACACACACGTATTCCCCCTGCCCCGCTCCAAGGATGTGTTTGTTTGTTTTTCTTTCTTTTTCTGCAAAGGCTGCTTTCCTGGACTCACTGAACGTCACCTACTCCCTCCAAACTTATTCTCATGTGCATGATGACCTGCTGTCAATACTTTTCACTGACTTCAGTGAGATCTGAGTACATTGGAGAAACTGGAGAACAAAAGCGTAATGCATAATGTAGAATGGTCTCCTAATGAACTTGCATTACTTTGAACAGGCACTGGTGTTTCAGCCTCAAAGATATTGAAATAGTCTTCCTCTTTACTTATGGAACCAAAAGAATCTGTAAGGATGGATGACAGATGTACATCATAACAGAAAATCCACCTGTACCTACTAACAAAGTTGGTAGAAACTTCCATAGTTCCATGTGTATGCTACACATGTATGATTGCCTCAACAAATGCTTTAATTGTAAAAACTAAACCATAACATGTCATTCCTGCCACACTCTCATCCTCCCAGGAGAAGAGACTGCAAAATAAAAGGCTGATAATAGTAACCAAGTCCAAGTTAGTAAAACACATTATTCACTATGATTCAGATCTTTCAGAAATGGCCTTTAAAAATGGCATTTGGATCAAGCTCTGCTCCTATCTTCTGTAATTACACAGTGGCAAACAACCATTAGGGTAAGATGGATTCCACTATATGTGACATATAGTGCTTTTCTTAGTGATCTGTGGGCTGAAAACAGGAAAAGCAGACTATCATCAATAGTCTTCAATTCATCATTTGAAGCACACGCTGTATAACATACTTAGGGGTTCTGAAAAATCAGAATTGAAACAAAACCATATTTCAATGAACTTGAAAGACGTTTGGCTCTACCATTTGCTTTTTTTAAGAGACACTATAATTATCCCACCCTTTTCCCCATATTATCACGACTAGCACTTATTTTGGTCTATGACAGATGAACAGGTCAAAAGCAAATATGAAGTCCTGCACGTGAGACAAAACAACCCTGTAAGTCAGTGAAAGTTCAGTGCTGACTGTTGGCAAAGAAGCTTTGCAGGTAGGGATCTGGGCATCGTGATAGACACCAGCTTCAGCATAAATCTTATCTGTATGATAAGCACATGTATAGCCAGCACATAAATCCCTCGTGACACTGAGGTACTGAGGTGAGGCCAGAAAAGGGTATCAAGAAGCACACAACTGCTGATTTTATGCCAACTATAGTATCACCATATTGTCAGCTATAGGGAAAAAGTGGTTTTAACTGCCCAAGAAACAATCTGTCCAAGTGTTAAACAAAACTACTACTAAAATTGAGCTACCTCATGAGCAAAAACTAGAAGTGACCACTTCTTTTCTAACATAATTTTATGAAAGGAGTCTATCTTTTCCACTAATATTTATTTATGTGTTTGTGTGCATACATATGCAATATAATAATTTAAAATACTTTAAAGGTATTTGTTCTTACTATTAAAACATGACTGAAGAGCATGATGCTTTGCAGGAAATATTTTTCTGGAAAAATAGAAGAACCAAGCAAATGTTAGTGCTCAATTGTTTTGAAAAGAAACAGCTAAAATAACATTAGGTGTTCCAAACCCGCTTAGTAGAGAGCTCATAAAAATAATCCTGAAGTGACATAAGAAACGTCTGTATAATTTGGATACAATTCTGTTTGTTTTCATATTGTTCTTCAGGTAAATGACAATGAGGCATTAACTAAGGAAGTCACCAACTACAGCAGTTATTTCATTTTTGTCAAAATAAACTTTTTGCTATGCACAGAGGCATGAACATGCTCACACACTGATCATTCCACAACACCATTATATGGGTTTGAAGTTAGAGAAAACAAACCAGAAGAGCTTAGACAGAAGTACCAGTAACAATACATTCTACATGCTAGAAAAATATAATAACAAGGGAGAAAGTATTTCTACCTGTGCATGCTGAGGTTTAGAAACCATTCTTAAATTTACTATAAATGGACAAAGGACTTGCTCCTTTAAGAGTCATTTCTCAAGCAAGATGACAACATAAAATTGCTAAGAAATTGCAGCAAATTGTTTCTAAGGCATATAGTTGGAAATCTGGAACTCTGACACTAACCTGAGTAAATTTCACTCTTTGTACATCCCCCAGTTTGTTTTACTTAATGTTAAATCACCAAACCCACACTACAGCACAGGCAGAATTCAGTGGGAACTTTGTTACACTAGAAAACCACACCAGATCCCAACCTTGAGTGCTGTTTAAATAAAAGATTCTCAAGTTACTTTTAGTTCTAGGTGAAGGACATTAAGGGGTGGATGAACTAGAGACTTCGCTCCCACTCCCAATCATAGAACAGAAACTGTCACCATTCTATTAGTATAGGGTGCCAGCACACAAAGACTATTTTTGCTAAAAACTAAATACACCCAAGTTCTACCATAGTTCTTCAGAGATGCAGTAAGAGCTACTTCTTCTATGAAGAAAATAACAGATGGAGAGAGGGGAAGAGAAGCCTCTTTACTAAGTATGATTTTCATTGCTGAATTTTAAAATATTTTTACATCTTTAGTATGTGTGATGTTTCTTTCCTACAAAATGCACTTTTTGCTATTTCATAAATGTATTTACAAAGTTGTTTAAAAAAAACTACAGTATAGTACATGCAAGTTAATTCTCATCAATTCAGTCTGACAGAACTGTTTTGTTCATACACTGTGCACAGTTGATCTAGTAACGGTCTATAGCATTAGCCCATTTGTTACTGTGAACATGATGAACACCTTCAAAGCAGTATTTCCTTCTTACCGTGAATACTACCCAGCAGAATATCACCAGCTACTGAAGACAGGTATGATGATTCTGCATAGAGATACTTAGTTTTCAGCAGCCCATCTTCAGTAGATATGTTGATGGATGTCCCCTGCAGCTTCTCTATATTCACGCTCTAAGAGAAATAAACTTAAATAAACATAATGTAAAACTTGTCATCAGAGTTTGAAAAGGCAGAGGGAATTAACAGTATTAAGAGGCAAAACAAATGTAAAGCAGTTGCTGGTTCAGAACAGAATCAAGTTCTTAGTTAAGAGCTACAAGACAAAACAAAAACCCTTTTCATCCAAGAAAATTTTTCTGAGCAAAAAGTTAATGATTCTTTACAATATTCCAGCAAATTATTACATCCATCATACAGGTGAAGAACCCAAATAGTCACAAATGGGTGAAAGAAAAACTTGACCTATTTTTAAGAAAGAAAACACTTCATTTTTAAAAGTAAACAAGCAGATTAGCTGCAATAATGAAGACTTAACGTTCATGCAGCATTATGATGCTTAAAGCATTGGTAACCAGTTTTCTGCCACCACATAACTGAAACATCCACTGTCTTTGCTACACACAGCTACTTACTCAGATTTTTACCTGGCTCAATTTGTGGGCATATTTTTGGTGAAGGTTTGCAAAAACAGCCACAGCTGCTCTTTTCCTCAGTATAGTTGTTCACATTATCTCAGTTACTCAGGCCTCTATTCTTGGACTTAAGCCTTAAGCTATACAAAGCCTTGAAAAATGAGGGATAGATATCCATTTTGACTTCTTTTCAATAGAAATTGAGAGAAAGGGTAAGATTCAAAAAGTTGCACTATGGATAGATTTGGGGAATAAAATGTGATAAATGCATGGAGACCTCATAGCAGCCTTCCAGTATCTGAAGGGGGCCTATAAGGATGCTGGGGAGGGACTCTTCATTAGGGACTGGAGTGGTAGGACAAGGGGGAATGGGTTCAAACTTAAACAGGGGAAGTTTAGGGTAAATACAAGGAAGTTCTTCACAGTGAGGGTGGTGAGGCACTGGAATGGGTTGCCCAAGGAAGTGGTAAATGCTCCATCCCTGGCAGTGTTCAAGGCCAGGCTGGACAGAGCCTTGGGCGACATGGTTTAGTGTGTGGTGTCCCTGCTCATGGCAGGGGGGTTGGAACTAGATGATCTTAAGGTCCTTTCCAACCCAAACCATTCTATGATTCTATGATATGATCTATGTGCCAGTAACCAGTAGTGTGACACAACCTATCTGAACAAGCCAGAGTAACTTACATGCTTATGCAACTACTTTATGAATCGAACCCTCTTATTCCCCAGTTAAACCTGATTTATGATGCAATCATTTGACAGTTCATACTTAACTCTTTCAACCCACTTCATTTTAGCATAGTCATCCTCTGGAAAAAAGTTAATACAAAAAAGTCTGCTGGCCCTTCCAGTGCTTTATTCTATAAAGAATAAGCTATGGATGAAGTAAGAAGTAGTCTGACAAACAGCTACTAGTGTTTCACAAACTCTATGCTGTACTGTGCCCCAGAAAGTGAGCTGAAGAAGCTGGTTAATATGGGCTATATGTCAGCCAAAATTACACTGTGACCTTACCAATCCATACATACTGATCTTGACACCATCTTCACACAGAAGATTACAGAATGGACTTTTGTCTCAAGACTTTTGACATGATGCTACACTACAAAGTAGGTCTCCAAGAATGTAACAAGACACTTTAACTTACAACAACCTACATACTTACTACAAAAAAATAAAGCAAAACCAACTACCAACACATGAAGATTTGTTTCAGAATAACCCAGATAAAGTAGGGGAGTCAGACTGCTCAAGTATAAACCTAAAATGCATCCTAGATAGGAAAAGCGTAAAAAAAAAAAAAAAAAAGGATTTCTTTTTACTGAAACTATGTTTTCAAACCCAAATTCTTAAAGTTTTATGAAGTTTTGGCAGAACATAGCTGTTTGGCTCTGCTAAATAAGCATTATAGCAAAGTCCCTGTGGCACAGATCAGTTAATGACTCCCCAGTCAAACAAATTTGATTATTTTTGTCCACTGAACCATTAAGCTTTCTGGAAAAACTCCTCCCCTTGAGAGTTGAGCCTTGGGAGTTCATAGTTATTGAGACTGACCACATGCTTAAGTTCCTTCAGTTTCTTACCTTTAAAGTGTCAGTCTATCTTCATAAATCAGACTGGTTTTGCACCTCAACACATCTTGCTATGATTAAATAAGACATAAACACCACCTTCCCCACATATTCCTCTTCTTGGCCTTCCTTTTTGTGCTATCCTTGCTCAAATATTTTACTAGTGCTTTCTCCATTTTCCCCCTTAAAAATACTCTGTTTCCCAAGTGCTTAGTGTCTTTTACCACATCCTTTCCCTCCCTACCTTCAGGAGGGGGCTGGAAATGCTGACAGAGCCATAATTACATAATGATGACTACAACTGATGGAAGAAACATCTCATACAAACACACACAGGAGACATAAAGCTGACTGATTATTAACAGAAGTGGTCAATTGAGAAAAGAAATCTCACACTCTCCATCCTAACCATGCAGCAAAGTTTGTTATTGAAAAGTTGAACAACATAAGCCAAAATATCATTCCATAGCTGTAAATTCCTGTTAGAATGACTTATTTCACGGAAGTTACTACAGCTTTACAACTCTAAGAGTGACTTCTAGCAATATTACAGACTTTATATTTATGATCACAAAGAAGCACCTCAACTTAATCTGGATGAAGTTTGTTTTACTGGTTCAAAAGGACAACAGCATTCAAAGACTGAAAGCCAAATAATTGTATTTCTCATTTTCATGAACTATATTTTCTTGTAGATACAGATCTAATTATTTTTCTACCATCCACTTGTTTTTGTCAACTCCAGTGAGATGCTATTTGAAATGAATGTTATGCACTGTGCTGGAGTAACAAACTACTTTGGGACAAATTACTAAGCAGCACAACTCTAAAGACCACCACTATGTCAACATGTTGTGAGCAGCATGAATCCATAGGAGCCAAAGCACTTCCTGGACTGCATTCAATCTTATTCACTGGTAGAAAGCAAGGATTCCAGTTTTCAGATCCTTTCAACTGAAGCCCTTCCTGGGAAGATGAAGAATACATCCAGAAAGCTGTAAACTACCTCTGCCCTATTCTACTCCCTGTGGCTGCTAGTGGCTTAGGGTAGATTCTAACTCCATTAACTACTAATAGTCCCAAGGGAACCGCTAGTGAATTACAACTGATCAATCTAACTATGGCATCATCAGATCATATCACACTCAGGCCTTACCCACTCTGCTTTATGGTGGGAGGACTTGCTGGGATGCAGTAATGTTCAGGAAGATATATCAATTATAGAAGAGTCTTTTCCAACCTAAATGATTAAGATCATGAAGTCCAACCATTAACCCAGCGCTACCAAGCCCACCACTAAACCATCTCCTCAAGTACCACACTACAAATCTTTTGAATACCTTCAAGGATGGTGACTCAATCACTTTCCTAGGCAGCCTGTTCCAATGCTTGACAATCCTTTAGGTGAAGAATTCCTAACATCCAATTTAAACCTTGAGGCTATTTCCTCTCATCCTATTGCTTGTTAACTGGGAAAGATACAGACACCATCCTCACTACAACCTCCTTTCAGGCTGTTGTAGAGAGCAATAAGGTCTCCCCTGAGCCCCCTTTTTTCCAGACTGAACAACCTCCAACAATAGTACAGCTACGACAGCCTCTAGCTCTTTTGTACATAAAACCCAGGCTAGTGCCCACTACAAAAATGCAGGTAATTAAACAGTGACAGTTCTTGGAAAATCCAGTGGCAAGCTGCTTAGTTTACAGCAGGACCTTAAGAACAGCTCACGGCTGGCTCTATATCATATGATCTCAGAACATATGATCTCAGAACGCAATCTACATACAACAGTGCCAAACAGCACTTCACAGAGGCTGTTTTGGACTCCTAGAACTTAATAGCTTGGTCTCAATTCTATTCTTGGCTAGAGAAAGCTACCCGCATTCTTTCGAATTCTTTTCAGAGTTGCTGGGTTTAAGGGTACCTGTTGATTCTGATACAGTACTGCATGCATCTAAGCTACTTCCAGACTTGGCTTGGCTCCGCACATTCATATAGCACTGCTTGAGGTCTAATGAATCCTAATGCAACCAGTTGCATGGACATTGCAATGCTTAAACATTCAAGTTGAGCCTAAAAACCAGACTGGGTATGAGAACTGTAGTATTATGTAAGGGAGCCCTGCTCTACATTATTTTAAATAACAAAGAATTGACTATTTAACCCAAGAAGCAAAATGAGATTAGCGCAGTATAAGGTTTGTCTCATACTGCCATCTGCTGAAAAAAGCAAGCTACTTCCCTACAAAACTTCGTGTTCATCATTCTCCCGTTCTTACAACCACATAATGCATAATGCCAGAAGTATAGAGCATGGACAAATATCAAACCACTATTAATGAGACATTAAAATAGATTCATGGGCCTACTGCAGAATCCAGATGGCCAGATATCAGCCAAATAAAAAGTTTAAGAGTGTTATGAGGCTCTACAGAATTAAAGCTGATGAGCTGTATCAGCTAGCAATATCTCTGTGTTGATGGAATGATCACATGCTTCTTACTGCTCTTTCTGTGCAGCCTGTTCACTAATCCAAATCAAGCATAAGATAAGATAGTATAATTAGACAAGCGTAAGTTAACAGTGAAATGACAATCAGCCAGTGAGGGTCATTACATATCCTTCAGCACTTTCTTCAAAATTCAGTCATTGTGCAGACAAGCCAAATAAGCCAAAGAGAAAGTTTTATGTCTTACTTACACCCTTCTCTGTCGCATGAATATCTGTATTTCCATAAAGTGTTCCAAGACCAATTACTTTGCCACCGTTTGTCCGTATATCGATTTTATGGCTCTGAAAAAGAAATACATAAAAATCCTATAGTTAGGATATTCGTAATGAGAATCTACCTTGGTTATCTTGGTTTTCAAGCTGGACCGCAATAACCACCTTGGATCACAAACTCCATTTTACTGGGAAGCTTTCTCCTCAAGTTATTGCCAAATGTGTTGCTTCTTTCCAATGTAGTCGAACTCAAAACAAGCCACCTTTCTTTGTAACCAGAAACATAAGGGAAAGAAGGATGCTGAGGAACCCTTTACTCTCAATACAGGGTGGTTTTTTTTTTGAGGGGTTGGTTTGGGTTTTTATGACTACAAAAACATTCACTTAGTATATACTAATATGAGCGAAAGGGGAAAATATTGTGTTTCATTGATGCTCTACCCAGAAACCAAAGTATGCATATACCTAGTGCTGCAGCAAGATGAGAAATAAGCTGGCAGTGAGAAATGAACTTACAAACTGGAGCCTTCCATTGACCTGGAACCTACAGTTTCACAGAATTCTATAGGATAATAATATACAAACACACTGTAAAACTACTTATGCTTGGAGTAGCATGTATAGCCATAAACTACGAATGCATACCAGTGCAAACCTTAGGCCTGCAAGTAGAACCAGATCTTAGCATTTCACTGCAACCAGATTCTAATTCAAATTAGGTATTTTGCATACATCTGCATTACAATCTCAAGTTTTTCACAAACCAAACAGGTCTTCAGAGTAAAATGCAATGCCCTAACTTGAGACTTCAGTAGTGCTTCAGACCTTTTAAAGGGTGTAAATAACTTGGCTATGCAGTTAAGCTTCTGTACAAATAATAGATTATTATCTCCATAGAGAGTAAAAAGGATAAAGTTAAATTAGATGCTTCAGCCAGACAGCACAGTTCCTTTGAGGCAGTTTCATCAGGCACATTATCAGAACAATGCCCAAAGAACAAATCCTCCAAGCATATTAACACCAGGAAAATATGGGAATTTATAAGATCAGAAGAATTAACGTAGAACAGTGACTTACCAGTATAGCCACTGGTAGTCAGGTAAAATAAAACCATGACATACACACTTATATCCTCAATTTTTCTTTCCTTTTTTAAAAAAGGATTTTTTTTCCTCTATATAATTTTGGGGACAGAAAAAGTTTTCATAAGATACAGATGCCTCAACTGAATTATTAGGCTATCCCTATCCTCTTAAAAAAACAAAAACACACATGCAACAATAAACCCCAAAACAAAACCACAAACCCCACAAGCTTTCAGAGGCAGGCATCAATAGACTCCTAACACACAACAGGATTTACTGAGAGAGGAAGCAAGTTATAATGGTCAAGTAGCTTTTTCATTAAAAGCGAATATTCCACTCACTGAAAGCAAGAAACACTAAACTGTTATAGGGCTTCTCCTAACAAGGGAGAAGGGTTTGAGTAAGGAAGAGGTAAAGGGCTGTTGAGGAAGTGACAGATGATAAAAGATAAACAGAGGAATTCAGGTTTTCAACAATTAAAGAAAGGAAGGACAGTGGTGCAGGACTTTAACAAGTCACGCTCACACATGGTGTTTAGTGAGGAAGCATGGGAGGTCTTCCACTGATTGTGTGTAAGACACCTGGAAATTCTTGTCATCACTGGTACAGTCAAGGAGCTGGAAATAATCATTGAACACAAACAAAATTCAAGGGTGTCCTTGGTCCCACTGTCACCACTGAGCTGACGGACTGTAATAAAAAGCAGGAGAAAAAAATTAAGCAGCAGCAGCACTGCTTTCTCTATAAAGAATTTGGGAATGAGTAATAGTCCAAAGACCACCTAGAAGTTCTAGCCCTATTTTGGAATCAATTGACTTGGAGACTTGGAAGTGATAGGGTGAACAGGGCTTTAGCCAGTTACAAAACAACCATCACCAAAAACACCTTAATAAGACAACCCTCAACAAATCTCCCTGGCTAGATAATGCCTATCACACCAAAAGTACCAGGCAAAATCCCTTAAAAAAATCATATAGAATACCCATCTTTTCTGATCAGTTGCTAGCACACATGACTAAGTGGATGTCAATTTTCTAGGTCTTTTATAAGGACACCATACCCAAAATCAAGGGTTTTAATTACAAGTTCCACAAACAATTTTCAGTCTGTGGCAAGTTAAGAGAATTAGCAGTTGTAAAGCTGTTTGCTGGTGCTCTTCAATAAACCCCACATGACCAGAATTTTTATTTAAAGTCACTGACCTTTTGCTCTCCCCTCTAAAGAGTCTCCTGCTTTGCTAGTCAATGAGGTTCGTGGACAGCACGACAGCGAAGCAACATTGAACAGCTTTTTAACACATCCAGAGGAGGGCAGTATCCCTTCAGTTTGCTCAGTAAGCACATTCCCTAACGAAGATTGAGTTTTTGTGCTGCATTATGGAATCTAGTTAGAAAGATTTTTAGTACCTCTGGAATAAACACCAAAGATTAATAATTCTGCTTCTCTGATAATACAGAGTATAATTCCTAAACCTATATTAGAAGAAATGAGTTACAGTTGCTTTACCAGAACTATAGTACTTCTTAAAAACATTGGACTAAAATTTAGTTGTATGGCTAAGAGATACTGTAACACTCCCAATCTAAAAGAATACTCAGGGTAACTATTTGAGTTCAAAAAAGGCCAAAACCTTATAATTTATCAAAGCTTTGTTTTGCCTTCTGGGACCAGGCCATTCCTCTCATCTGAGGCTTAAGGGAGTAAAGAAGCCTTCTGTGGTCACCAGTGAAGTGGACAAACTGAGGTGCATGCACAGGTGAAGGATCATCTTTTACACTTGTAGTTTTCCTGACATTTTTGTGAATCAAGGAAGACTTGAAGTTGACAGAGTTAAAAAAGCATCATCAAGCTCCTTTAAACTGTAAGGAGACCATGGAGGAGCTGGTCTCAAAAGCCCCAAACTGGTGACTTTGCAGCCTTCTTTTCAATTTATTAGAGAGTATTGTTTCATTGCTACTTGAAGTCTCAAGCAAAATAGAACTTTTTAAATTTTTAAAACTCAACATTTTTCACACCTCATAGTGTATATGGGAAAAGATGCCCAAAAAATTAGTTGTCTTTCCTGAAAATCTTCTTTTTCCATGACATCATGAAAAAATTCTTAACAATTCTGATGACATGCTGTGATTATTGTCACTATTACCGGCCAAAACTACCTTGTTTTCTCATGTACTGCTGTTTGCTGTTATTATTATAATAGAAACAGACATTTTTTAACGAGCTTTAGACAGCAGTAACACAAAGTACTATTAATTTTTTTGTTACATTTTTAATAGTAAAACGGTCAATTACACACAATCTGGAAGATCCAAGTTGTCAGTAGTTCACTGAATAAGCTTGCTTGTATATTAAATCTCCCCTTAAATTCAGTTTTCTATATGCATGCTATAAAATCATCTCTTATATCATGGTAAAGAAAAATGTGGAAAGACCTTTCATATCTCAAAAAATAACTTAAACTTAGGAACTGTGCTAATTTTAAACCTCTTTTTTTCAATTTATGCCTACTCCTGCAGGTACAATCCTAATTATCAAAGTGAATTTCATTCCAAACAGCACCTAAGTCAGGTATACTTTGATTATTTATACAAAAGCCTATATCAGCAAAGCTTAAGTCTTAGAGATTGAAAAAAACATGGTCATGACCATGATACATATAGTATTTATCAGATACCTTCCAGTCAGGTATTTTGGACATAATGTGTAACTTCTGATTGAAAATTAACCTAGGGTTTGTTAATAGCACTTATATATCAGAATTATTTAAAAAAACAAAACAAGCACACACAAAAAGAATAAGTCACATACTGCAGAGTATGTAACTAGACAGGAAATCCCAGTCTGTCTTCTTTTGTTTGAGGAGCAGGGGGACAGAGGTTAGGCTTACTGCTGTCACTGTTTCTGGTGGCTTTGGCTATCACCAATGGTATCTGGACTTCTGACTCCACATTATCTGGTGTTAGTGACTTCGTGTTGTAATCGTATGCGATAAATAAAGGTGAGGTGCTATACACATAGTAACACTGAGAAATATCAGAGTACTTATCTCCAGAACTGGTATTTAAGTTTCTGTCCTATCTTCCACCCACGATCCCTTTTAAAGCACTGATGGAGTGCGGGAGGGTTCTTTGTACCTTTATTGACTGCAAGACACTAGTCCCCTTCTCCGTCTCTATTTTGCAGTTATCACATTCTATTTTCTGAATCTTCACACAGCCAGTCCCTGATGTTTTGATATCCAAATCTAGAATTAAAAGAGGTTTATTAGCAAAAGAATGAGAATAGTCAGATCTATTTAACACAGTACTTGATCATTTTATATAGTAACTACATATAGTAGGGGGAAAAAAAGCAGCTGCTTTGTTACTAAGGAACCTTCTTGTGAAGCTTGGCCCCATACTTTCAATTGCATGACTAATCACTATCAACAATTGACAATGAAAAGTTTATAAGCCTGTGTATAGCCATCTAGCTTCAAGAGAAAACATTAACAGGCAGCAGAGTGACTGTAACCTCTGGCAAGGAATCAGCAGGGTGTGGTGCTTTAGTGAAGTTTCCTTTTCTTTTTTAACCTACTCTCAAACTCCACCTCATAGCTCCCCTAGTCACCAATTACTAGCAATTCTACAGAGACATTTGGGTACCCCAATATGGGGTTTGGGGTGGAAAGGTTGGCAGGTTGTTTGAGGCCACATATAGAGAAATAAGATTCAATAGCACAAATACATAGGCCTGGCTTTAGACCTACACTGCTTCAACTAGCAAGCAGCCTAACACAAAACCAGGTGTAGAAGTGTCTACGTGTGTCATTCTTCCCTACCCTTCTGGAAGGTCTGACTTACCCCTGGCATGAAGAAGCATGTTTGCTTCCAGTCTGAATCACCTCACCTTATTACTGTTCATAGGTTCCCACAAAAACAAGTCACTAGGTCCTGTAGATAACTCTTACCAAGGGAATAATTTGTGGCTCATAATGCTTCACATGAGAGTAGCAAAAGCACCCTTCTGCCACTTGAGCTGAGTTTAAAGAATCAGGAAGAAGTTTCAGAATAGAGATTCTGACTATATTAGTAATCGTTTATAGTAATGACCACCATAGCAATTGGCACAAGGGAAAGGCAGGAGAGGAAAAAAGTGGGTTTGTTCTTCTAAGGATAAAAGGCAGAAAGAAGAAAAAGAAGCATTTGCTGCAAGACATGTAACTGAAGGACTAAGAGATAGCAAGCCTATTACTCTCTAAAGAAAAGGAGATTATCTGGGAAAGAAACCTTCATTTATGCACCCGTGAAAGTCTCTTTCACCTCCACTATCTGCCAAGGTGACCAGAAATATGAGGAGAATCAGAGTATGTATAACAGGCTCTTCCCCAGCAAGATTCCCCAAGACAGACCCATGACACTGTGGAAGCTGAAGATCAGTCCTATCACGCTGCTGCTCAGGACAGATGCTGGAACCATGACAACAGCAGCTTGCAGGCCATGAAGATGGGAGACTGAGTGCTCCAATTAACAAAGAAGGAAGTTTTGCCACCTGACAAGCCAGGAGAATCCAAGAGGCAGAGCTACAACACATTGCATCGTTGCTGCTAGTGTTGCCTTATTACCACAGTAAGCTAAGAGATTAAATTTTAAGGACACAGACTGTGTTCGAAGGTGACAGTTCCCTAAGAAAGAGAGATAGAAGAGGTGAGCTGGATAAGAGGTTTTCAGGAAAGTTGTTTCGTTTGCAGATATTATTTTCCTCTTCATGGAATACTTCCAAGAAAGAGATGCTGTGACCAAGATGTTAATCAAACAATATGCTTCTTATATTTAAGTAAACTAAGATACACTTTGAGGCATGTAAAAGTGCAAAACTTGGCAAACTGTACTGGTGACTATCATCAGAGGCTCAAGAGCCAGCTCTACAAGGTTTTATGTTGGTAAAGCCTACATAGTTTCACCAGACTAAAAATATTTGAGGGGTATCTATCCTTGTGGGACAAACTGCCATGAGGCATGGAGTTTGCCAGGAAGCTCTCACCCTGAATCTGTTTACCTGAGTGGACACTAGGAAGAGAGATCCACTGAGAGGCTGAGCTGTATCAGGCTCAGAAAATCCCCTGAGCTGAAAAGAGCTGACAGCTAAGAGAACACTGAGATGAAATATCATATATGTTTGTCCTGTTCTTACTCTTCCCTGAGCATCTGTTTATGGCTACTGCAGACAGGACAGTGGGCTAGCTGGAGGCATGGCGTAAGTTAAGTTAGTCGCATTCCTTTAACTGTGTATCTGAGTAGTTTTGCTTAGCATGAGTAAAGTTGCTGGAGCCTTAGACCACAAGCCCTGAACAACTGAACTTTCCTTGAACTGTTGCTTCGTTAGGTGAAGGGAGGCCCTGAGGCCAGTACAAACCGGAAGACAAGGAAGCCACTATCAGCGGAGGACGCAACCCCCATCCAGATAAAAAACAGGTAATGACCAGTCTGGAGACAGAGAAAGACTCCAATAAGGAACAAGAAGACCCCAGATCAGAGATCACCACTGGACCACGAGGTGCGTGCAAGGTGCACAAAGGGCACGTGAACAAGGGGTGCACAGACTATAAGGGTACAAAGGCCCAGGAATTTCTTTGTTCTGGGTCCCTCCCTGCCTGCAGGCACCAGCTGGGGCTGCTTCTACCACTGTACCACTCAGACAGATTAGCTTATTGGACTTAAAGCCTGAGATCCTACAGGGGATACCCAGGGTGAAGAGATCTCTAACAACGGTACAAATTAGTACAGCCATTCTAACATAGACAAAGTAAAGCACAGTGAAGGCAGCGAGAGGGAGAACCCCCTGATTTTATTTACAGAATGTTTGTCACTATATTAGTTGCTAGGGAATGAAAGAGACCTTAAGTTTTGGTAAATATATATAAGAAACACCCCTTCAGTTATCAGGAGAGTTAAAAAAACCCAAACCAATATCAAAACAAAAAACAAGTAGTAAATCATAGTGATGAGTAAGACTGTAAATTAAAAGAGAATACAGGTCCTTCTAAATGAAAAAAGGTTTGTGTGTGTTGGGGGGGATGATGTGTGTGAACAAAACCAAACCAAAAGATGACATAGTATAATTCAAGATACAAGAAGGGTGAGGGGAATTAAGTGAAGATAAAAGGTGCAGAATGTCTTCAAAGTAAGGCTTTGGAAAAGTGGTAACCAAAAGAATATAACACCATGCTATAGAAAAGTCATGGACGACATGGACAAAACATGAGTAGAATGAGACTGGTCATCATTTCTCATGTGACAACTGCAGCAGAGCATCAAATGAAACAAAAGCAGCAGTCCTGGACAACTACATGAAGCAAACCAAAGAATCTGTTTTTCCCAGCATGGTTGAACTTACTCTGCACCATACAGGTAACTGCACGAATCCATGGGGAAAAAGATGCACATCAATGACTAAACACAAGTACCTATGGGTTAAATGTTTCCTAAAGCTCAGCTTAGAGGGGCACTATCCTAACAAGCTTACCCTCTTCCTTCCCTAAACTTAAGAGCCACTGTCAGCCCAGCACAGTTGTTTATTGGTTTCAGCCAATATAACTGCTCTCCCAAATTGTTTACAGGTTCCGTACCAGAAACGCTACACAGATTTTTACCCTGTACCCAAAAACATAATGCAAGACCAGGCAGCCCTTCCTGTCGATTCATCTGGATTGCTGCCTTCCAGGGTTTTTTGATCCCTGTGGATAGCCACTCAGCCTAACAACCACTGCTGGAGCTGGTAGATCCAACAACTCTGCTGAGCACAGCCCCTGGACGGAAGGTGTCTCAGCAAAAATAAAAGTGCGTGTTGTAACTACCACTTCACAGCAGAAGTTTCAGCATTAATTGCTGACAAAAACAACAACAAATCATGTACTTAAACACCTAAGAAGTCAGGAAACAAAGAAGAAAAGGGACGTTTTGAACCTCATTATCTGGAAGAGGCATGATGCCATTGCGGAACACCGCTGCCAAGAGCGCTTCCAGGCTGCACTGGAGGGAGGGACGGAGGACCCCGTCTGCCCCCGGGCTCCGCGGGCCACCACGCC